AAGCCTGATATACTTGGGCTATACATGGATACATGTAACTTAAGGACCAGTCGTTTTAGTTAACTGTAGATCCAGAATTTTTTTTCAGATGTATATTGATCTGCTTCTTTAGTGAGGAGAAGAGGTAAGGAAATTTATTTCTGGCCTGTCTTTTCTTTTTTCAAATGATGGTAGCGTTTCTCTCTGAGGCTTCATAGTTTTCTTCTCTGCTGATGAAAATATGTAGTAATAAAGGCATCTTTTCCAGATTTTCTGAAAGTAGTTTTGCAAATGATATAAAAGTCACTGCATTACACAGGTTGTTTTGAAATTGGCCATACTTTATTCCTACACTGAGGCTTTGTCTTTGTACAGTGTTGCTGTTGCTTTTGGCAAGGCTATACTGTCCTTGCTTTGTTGGTAGATTCCTCAACATAGCTGTGGCATATAACAATAAATGGAGTTACTGTGCCAGTGTGGTTTATATGCTTTCCCAATGATATAAATTAAGCCAACAAAATGTCCTACTAATAGCTTATATGTGTACATATAAACAGGTTTCCCCAAATAAGCATGCAAGAACATTTCACATATGCCTTAGCTGAGCTTCATATTATCAAAACTTCATATTGCAGAGATCAAGGAACACAAATACTCTTCAAGAAACTAGGACTTACTGTATCTGCTGGACTGGGGGATATACCCAATGTGGCCATTTCTGAACTCATGCAAGGACCAGAAATAGCTTGTGGTTTCAGGCATTCACCTCACTGAATCCGATCCAGACACTCTGTAGCTGATAAATTCATATGTGGTGTGTTACAGGCTGAATTTTTCTCCTGGTTAAACAGCATTCAGTTGTGAGATTATAATACTAATCCTTCTGGCTGGAAAAGGGTTTTTATTTTTATTGATGACAATGGATATGTTGTACTACTGACTCTTTTTTTTTAACTTCAAAAGAACTTCTTAGAACTTCTGAAACCTTGATGGAGGTTGTGGGGGATTTCTGGGGACCCTCTGAGGGACTAGAGGGTACTTACTGGTAACAGGTGAGGAGAGCTAGGTTAGGACAGCTACAGGAGGCCTTACTTCTCCTGGGAAGTTCTAGCAAGATGTAGCCGCTGCTAAGGAGCTCTAATGGTTGCCCCCCTGATCAGAGGGAGTTGGGGCCTTTGTTCCAGCTAACCCTGATTAGGTAGGATCAAGCACCCTGCTAGCCAGTGCTAGGGATAGGTCTAAGAGCCAGGCCCAGCACACAGCTCCCAGGATGCAGCTTGCAGAGGTAGGCAACAAATGCAGTAGTTTGCGCAGCAGAGTGCAAAGAAGGGGTCCTTGTCTCCATTCACAGCAGTGTATGCTTCCTCATATGTGTTTGTAACACACCGCAGGACATGTTGCCTAGTAGCTGTTGGAGTGGCTTTCTGCCATGGTGGAGGCTTCCAGCCAGATAGACCTTCCAATGGAGGATGTAGCTCTGCAAATCTCAGGCTGCAGGGAGTGCCTGGGGCCTCTCCATGAGGCTGGGGCTGACAGTCAACTTTTCTGCGGAAGGTGGCTGTTGTTGATGAGTTGTGTTGCCAGGGCAAGGAGTTACGGAAGGAAGTAGGCAGGCTGTGTGACATCAGAGAGGATGAGCAAAAGATAGGGTATTTTCAGAGACCCTGCCACTTCAAGAGCCTCAGTCCCTAGCAGCAGTAGAGATGCATATGGAGCCTGTACCTTGTGAGGCGGTAAGTGGTGAGCCTGAAGAGGGCGAAGGCTGGACACTGGTCACTTCTTGTATAAGGAGGAAGGCTTCTGCTCCTCCTGAAGGCTTGCAGCTGATGAAGAGGTTTACTGCCCCCAAAGCTAAGGAGGAGCTGGTCATGCTTTTGAGTGAAACATCTGGGCTGCTGGACCCTGTGCCACATGGGAGCACCTGACAGAAGCGGTGAGTGATAGTAGTGGATGACTGCCTGCTGCAGGGGACAGAGGCACCCATCTGCCAATCTGACCTCTTGTCTAGAGAGGTTTGTTGTTGGCCAGGGGCTCAGATCCAGGATGTTTTGGAGAGACTGCGGAAGCTTGTCCACCCCTCTGACTGTTACCCCCTGCTGCTCTTCTGTGTGGGCACCAATGATACCACCAAGAACAACTTGGAAAGCATCAGATGTGACTCTAGAGCTCTGGAGGCAGTTGTCAGGGGTATTGGGGAAGGCCTCCTAGCAGTGAGATGGAAGGCTGGGAGAAGGAACAGATAGATACTGTGAGTTAACAACTGACTGCACAGCTGATGTTAACAACAAGGCTTTGGTTTCTATGACTATGGGACCCTGTTTGAAGATCAACATCTGCTTGGGAGAGATGAGATACACCTAAGTGGGGCATATATGTCTTTGCCAACAGGTTGGCCAACCAGTTAAGGAGCGCTTTAAAGTGGGAAAGATAGGGGAAGGGGAGAGTAATAGAGACCATGCATTCAGCAAAATAGGTCTCAAGTGGGGATGTCTCAAGCATTTGCATGCAGGTAAGGAAGCCCCTACAAGACAAGACTATGGGGAAACATCTTGCACCCCTTCTGGGAAAGCAGCATCTTCAGATGCCTCTCTGAAGTGCCTGTACACAAATGCATGCAGCATGGGGAATAAACAGGAGGAATTAGAGATCTGTGTGCTGTTGCAGGGGTGTGACCTCACTATGATTATGGAGACCTGGTGGGATAGCTTGCTTGACTGGAAAGCTGCAGTGTGTGGAGACACGCTCTTTAGGAAGGACAGGCCAGGAAGGTGAGGAGGGGGAGTCACCCTTTACATGAGAGAGCAGCAGAAATGCATGGAGCTCTGCTTAGGGGTGGATGATGGTCTGACTGAGAGCTTATGGGTAAGGATTAAGGGACAGATCAATATGGGTGACACTGCTGGGGGTGTTTGCTAGAGGCCATCTGATCGGGAAGAAGCAGTAGATGAGGCCTTCTACAGACAGCTGGAAGTATCCTCATGTTCCCAGGCCCTGGTTCTTACAGAGGATCTTAATCACTCCGATATCTGCTAGAGGGGCAATGCAGCAGTATACAAGCAATCCAGGAGGTTCCTGGGGAGCGCTGATGATAACTTCCTGATACAGGTGATAGATGAGCCAACAAGGAGAGGTGCTCTGCTAGGCCTCTTGCTTACAAACAAGGAAGGGCTGCTTGGAGACATGAAGGTTAGGGGCAACCCTGGCTGCAGTGACCATGAGATGATAGTGTTCACCTGTGAAGGGGGAGCAGGGCAAAAAGCAGGATCAGAACCCTCAACTTGAAAAGAACAAACTTTGGCCTCTTCAGGAATCTGCTTTGAAGAATCCCATGGGATAGAGCCCTAGAAGGAAGAGGGGTCCAAGAAAGCTGGCTGATACTCAAGGATCACTTCCTCCAAGCTCAAGAACAGTCCATCCCAATGAGAAAGAAGTCATGGAAAGGGGAGATCTGCATGGATGAACAAGGCAGGCAAAACTCAGACAGAATAAAGTACACAGAAGGTGGAAGCAGGGACAGGTAACCTGGGAGGAATCTAGAGATGTTGCCCAGTTATGCAGGGATGTGGCTTGGAAGGCCAAGGCCCATTTTGAGTTTAATCTGGCAAGGGATGTCAAGGACAACAAAAAGGGCTTTTCTAAATACATCAGTAACAAAAGGAAAACCAGGTAAAACGTGGGCCTGCTACTGAATGGGGCAGGGGCCCTTGTGACAAAGGACAGAGAAAAGGCAGATACTGAATGCCCTCTTTGCCTCAGTCTTTACTGCTAAGATTCTGAGGAATCCCAGGCCCTGGAGACGAAGGGGAAAGTCTGGAGGAAGGAAGACTTTCCCTTAATGGAGGAGTATCGGCTTAGGCATCACATAAGCAAATTGGATATACACAAGTCCATGGACCCTGATGGGATGCACCCATGAGTGCTGAGGGAGCTGGCAGATGTCATTGCAAGGCCACTCTCCAACATCTTGGAAAGGCTGTGGCAATCAGGAGAGGTACCTGAGGACTGGCAGAAAGCAAATGTCCCTCCAATCTTCCAAAAGGGCAAGAAGAAGGTTGCAGGGAACTACAGGCCTGTCAGCCTCACCTGCATCCCTGGAAAAGGGAGGGAGCAGCTCATCCTAGAGGCCATTTCCAAGCATGTGAAGGATAAGAAGGTGATCAGGAGTAGTCAGCATGGATTCACACAGGGGAAATAATGCTTGACCAACCTGAGAGCCTTCTCTCTGATGGAATGACTGACTGGAGAGATGAGGGGAGAGCAGTGGATGTTGTCTCCCTGGACTTCAGTCAGGATTTTGACACTATTTCCCATCACATCCTCATAGGTAAGCTGAGGAAGTGCAGGATGGATGAGTGGACAGTGAGGTGGATTGAGAAGTGGCTGAATGGCAGAGCTCAGAGGGTTGTGCTCAGGGGTGCAAAATCTAGTTGCAGTCCTGTAGCTAGCAGTGTCCCCCAGGGGTCAATGTGGGATCTGGTCCTGTCCAATTTATTCCTCAGTGACCTGGATGGAGGGAGAGAGAGCACCCTCAGCAAGTTTGTTAGTGCTACAAACCTGGGAGGAGTGGCTGATACAGCAAACGGCTGTGCTGCTGTTCAGAGGGACCTCAACAGGCTGGAGAGACGGGCAGAGAGGAACCTCATGACATTCAATCAGGTGCAGAGTCCTGCACCTGGGGAGGAATAACCCCCTGCCCCAGGCCAGGGTAGGGGCTGACCTACTGGAAAGCAGCCCTCAGAGAAGAACAGAAGGGCCTGGGAGTGCAGGTGGGCAACAAGTTGACCAAAAGCCAGCAATGTGCCCTTGTGGCAAAGGCAGCCAATGGTCTTCTGGGCTTCATTAGGCAGAACGAGGTCAAGGGAGGTGATCCTCCCCCTCCACTCAGCCCTGATGAGGCCATGCCTGGAGTACCGTGTCCAGTTCTTGGCTCCTCAGTAAAAGGCAAACATGGACATACCGGAGTGAGTCCAGCAAAGGGCTGAGACAACTGGGACTGTTTAGCCTGGAGAAGTGGGGGTATCTTAACCATATGTTAAGATACCATCATATCTGAAGAGATGATGTAAAAAGGAAAGGGCCAGACTTTTTCATCTTCTTGGCAGGATGAAAGGTAATGGGCACCAACTGAAACACAGGAAGCTCTGCCTGAACAGAAAGAAAACAGTGGAACAGTTTTCACTGTGAGGGTGACTGAGCACAAGAACAGATTGCCCAGAGAGGCTGTGCCGTCTCCATCCTTGGACGTATCCCAAAGCAATCTGGACAGGTTCCTGTGCAGCGTGCTCTAGGTGACCCTGTGTGAGCATGGCTGTTGGAATAGATGATCTCTAAAGGTCCCTTCCAGCCTCAACTGTTGTCTGTGTGAAAAGACTGTTTTTCTTGAAATAGATAACGTCATATGGCTGAACGAAACATACCTGCAATAAGAAAGGACAAATGCAAGATCAGGGTCATGTGATATACCACATCTTAGGCTGATGCTAAAAATGAAATACTTATTCTCCATTAAAAAAAAAAATCTTTGAACTAAAAGTTCATTTATCTAAGCAGTAGTCCTCTGGAAGCCAGACATAAGTGATAATTGGACTCCAGTCTAACTTGAAATATGATTGTTCTTCAGACTGAATTGTTTCCCATTACAGCATTTTTGTCACATTAGAAAATGATCACAAACTTTATAAAAATGTAACAGTGATTGAAAATGCTAATAGAATGCTAGCCTGTTTCTTTTTATGATGTGTTCTTGCTAAATGATTTGCCATGTTTCCTTATAGAAGCAGCTGAACGCAAATTAATCTTAATTTACTGAGTCTTATGTTTAAATATGAATTAGAAATATCCTTAAATATTATAGAACAATAACCAAATTTCATAAACAGAAAAAACCTTTGTTTTCAAGGGCTGTCACTGTAACAAACACTGGGTGGATGCACATTCTGCCATGATTCCATAAATACTTGTCCCCACTTTCCCTTTCTGCCTCAGGGGATTAACAGCAGGAAATGTCAAACCGTTTTTTAAGATTTGTCTCACTTAATATCAAATTTGTTTGAGGATAATCAATGTGTCCGTGTTTACTATGAAGATGTGCCCTGGGAAAGGAGAGATTCATCCAGATTCTCCGTAATAGAAACCTTTTCTTTGAACAATGCAGGCAGATCACCCAAATACCAGATAGTCAGGTCAGAAGTAAAAAACATTTTTACAAATGTCTAAGCTGGACAAGTTATGGTCCTCACAGTTAGCCACTAGGTAGCCTGACCACATACGTCTGACTGTACTGCATTGCCAGTACATGCGCCTTGTGCTTGGGTGTGCAGCGCTCTGAGGGCCTTGGAGAGCTTCCTCTGGCTCCATGGGGGATCATGGGCAGCAGCAGAGTTGGTCTTGAGGGAGGAGTTATGGCACAGTGAAAAGTGGCCAGTAACGTGAATGGGACACAGTTGACAGCTCACCTCAATAAGCAAAATTAAAAAGCCTGGAAAAGCGTATGTAGAAAAATGTAAGTTTGTAGTATACATATCTTTATAAGGCCCTTCATAAAGGCAAATGAAAACAAAGCAAATTGTTCTTAACAAGATTTTGTAAGCATGGGCATAGCCATTTGATTTACAGTATAGCCTTAACTGATAAAAAGGAATTGTGTCTTAATTACTGTTTCATGAACCAAATTTTCATTTTAGTGTCTGTTTCTATATGTCAAATAACACAATGGATGTTTAATGTACTGGAGTTCTACTGATGCAGCCTTGTAACTCTTACATTCCTGTACTTAAAATTTCATTACCAATTCTCATGTGATCTTCTTGTTTATACAAATGTTTACTGAACAAGATGTTAGTCTACTGTGCTGTCAATTAAAGTAAATATGACCTCAGTAAAAGGTGCAACTGAATTCAGTAGTCACTAAGAAATTATTTCCACTTCTTTTGTTTTCAGTAATGCATGTTTAGGAAAAAAAAGAGTTTGGAAGTAGGGCTGAACTATTAATATTGTTGCCCCTAATAGTTCAGGCAGTTCTTATGAGGCTGAAAGACATTATATAAATTGTCATACTCTGTGGTGTGATTCTGCTTAAGACTGAGAAGCGTAGTGCCTTTTTTCCAGGAATGCACTAGGAACAAAAAGCAGAAGGCAGTTACTGCTATAATGACTTTGCTGTAGTGACTGTGATCACTATATCAATAAAGCCTTGTCTGTCTGGTGCTTCTCTTCTTGTTTAGAACTACTTCTTCATGTGTTACAGTGCCTTTCTATGTTCATCACACATAGATATTCCATATAGGAATCACTGTTGCAGCGTCTGCGTTTGATGAAAACTGCAGCTCAGTACTACAGTCATTTAGGTTTTACAAGAGCAATGATTATAAAGTGTTTGTATTGCTCAGTTTAGGTTCACTAAGTGGTCAATATCCTTTGATGACTTTCAAGAGAGGTGCTGATTTGTCTTTGAATCAAAGCTGTAATAAATGCCTTTTTAGGGAAGCCCCATGAGTACACAAGGTGCTATTCATAAGACCTTCACACAACAACCTGAAATTTTCTGTCAGATACTTATTTTTTTAGTGCAAAACCAAAAAAAAAAAAAAACCCCATGAATAGTTTGAATAGTGGACTTTCTCAATAATAATAAAGACTAACTTAGCTTTAGTGCAAAAATAATATGATTGACTCTGTCCCTTAAAAAAAACCTTCGCACAGTTGCTCAGGAATAGATAAATCTGAGCTCTAGCCAAAAGGTAATTAGATATTTGTAAGTCAAACAAGTAAGTTATGTTTTCTGTTCTTATGCTTTGCTATGTCTCTTGCTCTTGTTCTGATTGATATATTTCTTGTTGTTCTCTGTTACCTTTCTTTTATATAGGAAGCATTAGATTGTAACTTTGTTTTGAAAGTTCAGCGACCAGCCAGCACTGTGTTCTAGGTATGTTCACTGTGTTTTTTCTTCCTTTCTCCATTTCAATGGCAGATAAAGGTTTTCAATGTCTATCTTCAAATTCTTGTTTGTTTCCAGGGCAGTGAGCCTCCTTTTTTTTAAATCCAGTTTCTTAACAGATGGGAAATCAACCTAGATACTTAAGTCCTGGCACAAGTGGGCTTTCTGAGGTCTATTCTATATGTTAAAGTGAAATTCTGCATCCTCAGCAGATACCCTCTTTCTCCATCACTTTGGTCTGTTGACCCTCCCAAGGATGAACAATTTGAATGAATTTATAGACTTGAAATTACTTTACCATAATAATATTTTTTTAACTGATTCTAATATATATATTTTTTTCTAATAAATATTTGATTCACAGACTCTGTCAGAACAGCTGGATTCATCAGCATTGCATCTCCCTCTTAACTTGCAGGTTAATAGCAAGCTCAAGAAAGGCATCCATCTAAGATGTTCAGTTTGGGAATATTTTGAATATGAGATTATAGATCCTAAGAAAAGAGAGGCTGCAACTTGAAAAAAAATGGAGTAAACCCAGGAGGTGCTGTAAAGAGGGAGACTGACACCATGTACCAAAATATCCTGTTGTGAATCTTGTAAATAACGTTGTTGTTTGGGTACTGACTTTCAATTTAAAAATTAAATCTATTTTTCTTATAGGTTGACAGTGCAGTTATTTTATATTGCATTGCTGTCCATTGCATCTGCTTGAGGTTCATCTGAGCTACCTAGCTCCTCTTGATGTCTTTATTAGTGCTGCAGCATTGCTGATTTCTTTGAAGTCTTCCAGGCTGATGAAACTTGGTGCCTTCTTTCACTGTGTGCTGGTGTGACTTTTCCTGGCTGTTAAGTGCCTGGTTTCAACCACTGATAAAGCTGGATTTCTGGATTTACCTTGCTGTCTTGGATCTCTTTTCATGGAATATTTTGATCATCTCTTTCAGATTTAGATTTTATGTCTAGAATACAGGCATTGCCCACAGTTTGAGAAACTGAAATACGGACTTCTTTTTTTTTTTTAATTAAGGGTGATTCTATGTCACCAGCTGACTTTTTCGAAGGTTTTTTCTGTGCTGATTTCATCAGCAAACTAGTATCTAACAGGAATTAGTTCCTGCCTCTTCCTCCATAACCCAGACTTTGTTCATCACCTTCACCTTGTTCACAGCTGTTTTTGTTTTCTATCCAGTTTCTATACTCTTTCTGAAGTCACCTCCTTTAGTCATGTATCTTTCAGTTTTTGTTGTCCTGTACTATACCTCTCACTTTGTAGCCTCATGATGGTTTTTCTCTGCCTGAGATAACAGAACTGCTGGTGCACCTGGTATACCAGGTACCTGTGTAAGAAGGCAGCTTATCACTGGGATCCATGCTTAGTACCCATCACTTCCAAACAGTTAAAAAAAAAATTAAATTATCCTTATTTTCTGGGTGTTTTGTTGTCATCTTTTTGTATGCTATTCTTCTGAGAGTTTTCACAGTTCTGTTTTTTTTGCTTTTTTTTTTGTTTCCTTTTATACTCCTAGTATTGTGCTGACTTAATTGAGCCACCAATGCTTAAGGGTCTTACAAGGAATCTGTTTTGCTTCTTGATGTATACAGCCAGCTGGAACAAGCCAAAAAAGACTTTCACAGAACCCTGCAAAGACTATATCCTTAAGCTGAATTGTTAGAGGAATAGCTGCCAGTGAAGCAGAAAAGAGGAGAAGCTGAGGGGTAGAAAGGAGAGCCAGTGACATCATGTGGTTGATGAATACATGCCACAGCTATAACAGAACATCAAATAGTCACATGTTCTGTAAATAGATTGGTAAGGGAAGAAGAGGATGAAATTGGAAAGCCAAAAGCTCTTGGTTTTGGTGGCAGTGCTCTTCTAATGTCGTGTACTCCTGACAGTTCAGCATGGCGTTGTGGGTTGTTCTCAGCCCTCTGGTTGACAGGGACTGAACCTGTGCAGTGCTGGTCCTCTCCTAACAGGTTGTGCTGGGAGTGAGCTGGCGATGGTCAGAAGCAGAGATTTCCTGTTAGTTTCTACTCATTGCCATGTGATGAATCATCCCTACAGGATTGCTTTCACTATGGAAAAAATTACTATATTAAAGTGAAAAAACAAGCAGAAATTTGACCGTCCCCACTCTTCCTCATCCTAAATAATTAATGTGTATCACTGAAACCATGTGGACTAGATCAGATAACAGAAGAACACAAGCAAGATTAATTTTGCCATTATTTTAGTAATAATAAATTATATTTTTTCACCAACTAATGCAATCCAGATTGTCTCACTATGTGAAATCTCAGAATACGTCCCCTCTTCAGGGTATGTTTTGTATCCAATGTCCTGTTTTCCTCTACCATGTTTTTCTCTAGTGTATCTTTTAAAACATTTTCTGAATATGTCCTATTTTCCTCCAATACCTTAAAATAAGTTCATTATATCTGCTTTAGAACAATCTTCTATTTGTCATAAATTATAAC